CGATGTCTCACGCCTTTTTTGAAATTCAAGATGGTGGCTTCCAGTTACAGAAAAATTTAAAAATACTATCAAATACCCCTAAATATGGATATTTTTGCAATTGTGGTGATGTGTAGAGACATTTTGAATTCAATATGGTGGCTTCCAAAAATACCCATATTGTGGTGTATTTGACAGTGTTTCCAAGTTTTTCTTCTACCGGAACCCACCATCGTGGATTTCAACATAGCGTCAGACATGAATTTCCGATCTCTACACATCAACACGATTCCAAAAATACCCATATTGAGGGATATTTGACAGTATTTTTTATATTTTTCTCTACCTGCAAACCGCCATTTGGATTTCAAAAAGGCGTCAGATATGGATATCCGGAATCTACACGTCATCCCGATTCCAAATATACCGATATTGTAGAATATTTGACAGAATTTTCAGGGTTTTCTCCAACCGGAAGCCGCCATCTTGAATTTCAAAACGGACTCAGACATCGATTTCTGGTACAATACGTCACCAAAATTCCAAAAATACCAATATTATGGGTAATTTCACAGTATTTTCTAGTTTTCTCTAACCGGAAGTTACCATATTGAATTTCAGAAAGACGTCAGACATGGTTTTTCGGACCCTACACGTCACTCCGACTCCAAAAATACCAGTTTTGTGAGGTATTTGGCAGAATTTCCAAGTTTTTCTTTAACCGGAAGCCGCCATCTTGAATTTCAAAATAGCGTCAGAAATTTCCGGTCCCTACGCGTCACCCCAATTGACCACTTTGTCAAGCAGTTTTGGCGTTACTTTCTACCAGCGATTTCACAAAACTGGACCAACTAATTTCAATTTTTTATGAAACTCACAAATTTTGGCTACTTTTCTCGTGGTTCTAGAAGAAAAAATCTTAAAATAATGTTTTATTTCAAAGTTCGAGTGGTAGTAAACGTCATTTTAACTGCTCGAATGAAGTGGTTAATTCCAAAAATACCCATATTGAGGGGTATTTGACAGAATTTTCAAGTTTTTCTCCAACCGGAAGCCGCCATTTTGATTTTCGAAATGGTCTCAGACATGGGTTTCCGCGAGGGTTTCCGATCCCTACACATCACTCCGATTCCAAAAATACCCATATTGAGGAAGCCGAAGAAATTATTGGCTGGAATGGAAACAAAAAAAATGATTGCAAGGTTACTGAAATTCGCATCTTTTCTCTCATATTCGTTCATCGTTGTTCTATTCGGGGGCATTCGGAGGTTATGTAGTGAAACACACTCGTACGATCTAGCACTTTATTCTTACCTATATTTACAGTGGTGTTATCTGCTCGAGAGCGGTCAAGGAAAAAGAGACCGATACAATGGGTTGTTCTGCTTTTATATAATTTACATTAGTGTTGCCTGATAGGACCTCTATCAACCTAACCGGAAATACATGATTGTTTCGTTAACTTTCGTTAATGTTATCTAGATATACTACAACTTTCCCCTTTTTAACATGAAATTACTTTTTTCAGTAATCTTCAAATCTAAACCTGTCCGGAAATCTTTTTGGTCTTATTGATCTTCTGAGGAAAATTTCATCGTTCATGGATTCACTTCTTTCTCGTTTCATATCGATTTGAATTTTACTTGGTGGTGAATCTCCTAGTGATTCACTTCGCTTACGTTTAGAAGTTACATTTTCTGTCATTTTCTCCGGCAATTTCGTTAGATGTTTATCAACATGTGAACTTGGATATCTTATCTGATTCTCATGTACATTTTTTATGCTTCCATTTTCAATCAACTTTATCTTATACATTAAACTACCAATACGTTCCACAATTATGGCTGGAATCCATCTCACGATTTCCTTCAAATGGTTTCTGTACATTATCTTTTCCCCTTTTTTAAAGTCTTTCTTGGAATTACAATTATCATTTTTGCGTTCACTGTTCCTCAAATCATATACATATTCTTCGTTTTTGGATTCATCAAATTTCACACTTTTACTGTTCTTCACTTCTTGTTCTTCTTTGTCATACGATACTAACTTTGGATTTATGGTAGTTAAGACCGTTCTAGGTTTATAACGAAAAATTAATTCACTTGGGGATTTCCCTGTAACAGTTGTTGGTGTACTGTTGTACCAAGCAAGTATTTCGTTTAGTTTTCGTGACAATGATTTTTTCTTCAACTGTTGATCTAATAATCGTTTTTTCAAAAAATTCTTCACCGTTTGAACTCCTCGTTCAGCTGCTCCGTTTGATTGCGGATGGTACACTGGTGATTTTGTTACCTTGACATTAAGCGATTCCCAATATCGTACAAATTCACCCGAATTAAACGGTGGTCCATTATCGGACACAATTTGTTCTGGCAAACCAACAAATTTGAAAAAATCGTCCAACTTCTCATTCACCTGACTAGCGTTAGTTCCGTTCATTACTGTAGCCTCAATAAATTTAGTGAATGAATCAATAATCAATAGCACCTTTTTACCTTCAAAGTCAAAAAAGTCAATATGGATTCTTTCCATGGGGCTCGCACAACTTGGCCATTTGGACACGACCGTTTCCTTTGGAACACTTCGTCTTAGATCACACACTTCACATTGCTTAAAATAATCCTCAACGTCATTTTGCATTCCTTTCCACCAAAATAAACCTCTAGCTAACATTTTTCCTCTCACAATGCCATCATGATTAGTGTGTAACATCTTTAGTATAATATTTTGCAAAATCTTCGGAATAATTAATCGATCACCGTAAAATAAACAATTGCCTTGGCAGCTTAACGACTTACGCAAATTAAAATAATACTTCAATTTTACCGGAACTTGATTAGGCCATCCCGACAGTACAAAATCCAACACTTGAGCAAGAGTTTCATCTCTCGCCGTAAAATCCGCTACATCACTTGTTTTCAAGGGTAATTCAGGACATTGCTCCAACACGTTTATGGACAGTTCCTCAATATCTGTTCCGTCAGATACTGGTAATCTGGACAAAGCATCAGCATTTGCCAAACATCGACTTGGTCTGTACTCAAACTCATAGTCGTACATGGACAAAATCACCGCCCACCTTTGTAGCCTAGACGCCGAAATCACTGATGTTCCTTTCCGAGGGTGGTAAATTTCCTTCAACGCCTCACAGTCTGATACCAGCTTGAAGCGATGCCCGTAAATGTATTTGTGGAATCGCTTTACAGCAAAAATTATTGCTAAAGCTTCCCGGTGAAGCTGTGAATAATTCTTTCCAGCAGGAGATAACGTACACGAGGCAAAAAGAACTGGTTTTTCTTCTCCGTCTACAATGTGGGATAAGACAGCACCCACACCATAAGGACTTGCATCTGCTGCGACTACAATCGGTTTTTGAGGATCATAGAGCTGTAACAAGTTATTCTCTAAAATGAGCTGTTTGCTTCTTGAAAAACACTCTTCACAATCCGCGTCCCAGACAAATTGTACATCTTTCCGCAGCAATCTGTACAGAACTCTCAACTCTGCTGAGATATTTGGTATAAACTTCGAGTAGTAATTTAACAAGCCAAGGTATGATTGCAGTTCACTAATGTTTGTCGGAGAGGGGGCATTAACAATTGCATCTACTTTTGATTGGTTTGGCCTAATGCCATCTTTGCTAATAGTGTGACCTAAATAATCCACTGATTCCAAGAAAAACTTGCTTTTTTCCACGTTAATCTTCACATTATACCGGCTCAAAATTTCTAGCACACGATCCAAAATACGCCTACACTGTTCTAACGTGCTTGCTCCAATTAGTACGTCATCTAGATAGGACACGCAACCCTCTACGTTCCCCAAAATCTGATCCATAAAGCTTTGGAAGATCGATGGCGCACTTGCCACACCGAATGGCAATCGAACATATTGGAAAAGTCCAACGTGGGTATTAATCGTAAGAAACTGCCGCGAATTCTCTGAAACATTCAGCTGTTGATATGCACCCCGAAGATCAATCACGCAAAATAATGTGCAATTCGCCAGTCGAGCGAAAATATCGTCGATTCTCGGTAACGGGTAATGTTCTGATCGTAAATATGGATTAATGGTCACTTTGCAGTCAATGCATAATGTTGGCCGCACTGGCCTGAGCGCACCTACCGTGTCAGAACATCCCTGCAGTGGGTTTGACAGCGGAGTGACAGGTACCGATCTGACACCGGAGTGAGTAAGGAAGAGGATAAAAAGATAGAGCCAGACGATTGGAATCGAAAATTATAACATTCTCAGTCCTAAATGTTTCTTATGCATCTATTATTAAATTGAACTTAAATTAATCTTAAACTAGTGAACCTAGGTGCTAAATATTAAAATTAACCGTGAAATTGTTTGAGCCGGTAAGCTGAGATCACTTAAAACTATCTTAAACGAAACTTAATTGCTATTAGTTATAACTAGGTTACCCACAACAATAACACCAGCTTTGCAGTAGTGCCGCAATTCTATTAGACACTACAATCGGTGAGAAACTTAAACTACAGTGTTTCCTCGAAAATTACTATTAATCTACTTAATTATGTAGGATATTGCCGTCAATTGCGTTTCAAAGGTCACGAGAGGATTAAACCATATTAATCTTACCATACGAAAGCCAATCGGTAAGGTCATACATAGGTACAGTAATAAACACAACAAACGCTAAACTCTATTACCATTAGGACAACCACAATAATCAGGTCGAGAACCCACTTAAATCCCAGCCGGGAGTTATATGCTAAAGGAACTAAACGTAAGTCTTACCGGCTAAAATTACAATCTAAACTTACATCTATAAAGCACAAATACGGAATTTAATTGATACTTTTATGAAACACAAAATTGATAACTAATATTGATCACAAATGTCCTGCATCTTACAGGAAAATTATATTCTCCCAAAACCGAATATTGCGTTTTATTGCCGTCGGTGGAGAATTATAACATCGGAAAATTCCTATTGAAACGATTTTCAACAACATATAATTTTCGTTTATTGAAACGGTACGGTCGGTCAAGTTATGTCGCGAAGTGGTAGTAAATCCGATGCAACGGATGCCTTTCGAAGTGGATCTAATGAAAGTGGAGTGATGAAAGGAGTAAATGCTACTGGTGGTGATGGTGGTGGTAATCCGGATGTGGTGACATTGGAGGAAACTGTGGAAGGACATACCTGCAGAACGTGTCAAGGTTCTGATACCGACGAAATGGTCCAGTGCGACGTATGTGATGGATGGCACCACTTTTCATGTGTAGGCGTATCGGAGGAAGTTGCCGACAAGAGCTGGAGTTGTACAAACTGCGTGACTGCGAAATGGATCCAGCGAACTAAGGCAGCTTCGGATGGAGCACCTATAAGGGATGACGTCATTCAACATCGGAGATCGCTGCAAGATCTAAGCATCGGGAAGATCGTGACAAGTACCCGTGGCAATCCAGTGATTCCTTCAGTTTCAGCATCACAAAAGTCAGCTAAGTCGTTGACAGTTCCGTCAACCAGTCAGCAGCCAGCGCCTTTAGACTCAGTGTTTTGTCAACCAAAGCAGAAGTCATCGTTGCCTGGCGTAGATGTGCCAGTAATCGTTGCAGAGGAGGCGTTTTCCGAGATTTCCATATCCTCTTCACAAAAATCTGCGAGAAACCGCGCCAAGCTTCAGCTGATGAGATTGCAGGAAGAACGAGCATTTCAGCAGCAGCAAGAAGAGCGCCGAAGACTCGCTGAGGAAAAGGCAGCCCAGGAGTATAAGGAATATCTGGACAACAAGTATAAAATTCTGGAGGACCTGGCGAGCGAAAAAGGATCGAGTCGGAGCTCTAACTCTTCTCGTCGTCGGGTTGAAGAATGGGTGCAAACAACTAACCCTGCACCCTTAGAGATAGCCAAACCCGTCACTCAGGAACAAGCCCGTGAACATGACGGCTTGCAAGAACAGCTACGTCAAGAGCAGCTTCAGGAGAAACAACAGCACCAGGAAACAGCCTTTCAAGAGCAACAACGGCAACAACGGTCGCACGCAGAACAGCTACGAAAGCAGCAACAGAAGCAGTTGGAGAGAGAGCAAAAATTTCGGCAGTTTCAACAGCATCAGCGGCAGGAGCAAATACGCCAGGAGAATCTTTTGCGACAGCAACAGGAAGAGTTAAAGAAGGAAGCGGATGCCATCAATCGAATGTGGGAACAGCAGTTGGAAAAGGAGAAAATTCTACGCGATCAACAACAACAGCTAGCGGATGGTCAAAGGGTCATGCGACGACCGGGAAATATAATTCTGTCCAACCAGATGCCAGATCCACAACTCAACCCCCCACCGGAGAATCTGGAAGAAGGGTTCTGCAGAGAGTCGATACGTGGGCATCCTGGTCAATTCCTACCAGATGCCCTACCACAGTCGACGCAGCTTCATCCGATAGAATTGGATTACCCGCATAGGTCAGCTGCGAATCCTATCGATAGACAGAGTAGGAGGCATTCAATAAACTCTTCTATTGTGGATGATGATGACCAGTTCCAGCTTTCCCGCTCTCAAGTTGCAGCACGACAAGCAGTCTCCAAAGATTTACCTACGTTTTCGGGCGATCCCGAGGAGTGGCCAGTTTTCATATCCATGTACAATCGAACGACTACGATGTGCGGATTTACGGAGGATGAAAACATAGTTCGACTACAGAAAAGCCTGAAAGGAAGAGCTTATGATGCTGTCAAAAGTCGGCTGATGCATTCCGGAAACGTTCCTGGCATTTTATCAACATTGAAGATGCTGTTTGGTCAGCCCGAAGTAATCATACAATCGCTGATTCGTAAGGTGGGCTCTTTATCGCCAATCCGGGAAGACAAGCTGGAAACGCTAGTGGACTTTGCGGTGAACGTTCAAAACTTCTGTGCCACTGTAGACGCGTGTGGACTGCAGGAGTACATGTATAATATTACTTTACTACACCAGCTTGTCGGAAAGCTACCACCGTCGCTTAAACTCAACTGGGCACAGCATCGTCGAACACTGTCAACGGTCAACCTGGCGACCTTCAGTGAGTGGATTTATGGCTTGGCGGAAGCAGCGAGTGTTGTTGTATTCCCCTTGGCGGTTCAAGACGAGAAGCCAACTCGAAATGCACACGGGAATAAGAAAGGAAACACGTACCTTAACGCCCATTCTGAAACCTTTCATCCTAAAAAGAATTACAGCAGCGACTTCGAAGAACCACCAACGGCAGAATCAACATCGTACCAGGAAGCCTGCCCAATCTGCAGGAGAAGTTGCAAGTCGGCTGATAAGTGCAATCGTTTTCTGGAGCTCTCTAGAGAATCGCGCTGGGCCGCCGTAAGGGAATTTGGCTACTGCCGTACATGTCTGCGCATCCATAAAGGATACTGCAAAGCGAAACCGTGTGGCAAAGACGGATGCACCTACCGGCACCACGAGCTGCTGCACAACGATTCGAAGGACAAGCCGAAAAGCACCGAAACTACGGCCAGGCGTGAGCAATCTCCGCAACCCAGCACTAGCAAGTCTGGATGCAACACCCATCAGACAACCGTCAGCTCAGTATTGTTCCGTTATCTCCCAGTAGTGTTGTACGGAAACAAGAGAGCAATACGCACGTATGCATTCTTAGATGAAGGTTCTGCATTAACGCTGCTCGATCAGGAGCTTGCTAACGAGCTTCAGCTTGATGGCACTGTAAGCCCTCTGTGTCTCCGGTGGACTGGAGGAACTGAACGACACGAGGCGGATTCTCGCATCTACAATCTTCACATTGGTGGTGTTAAGAACGAAAGCAAGAAATTCCTCTTGAGTGACGTGAGGACGGTGAAAGAGCTACTGTTGCCCCAGCAAACGATGGACATGGCTGAGTTGTCACAGTTGTATCCACACCTCCAAGATCTGCCGATCGAATCTTATCGCGACGCTCGTCCACGCATTCTTATAGGGATGAAGCACGCCCAGCTCAGTCTTGGCCTGAAAAATCGTGAAGGGGGAATCGGTCAACCAATCGCTATAAAGACACGCCTCGGATGGACGGTATGCGGAGGATGGGGTTCCGGGAGCGACGCCAACCTACACCATTACACCTTCCACGTTTGCCCCTGTAGTGTGAAGTCAGACGAGGACTTGCATCAGGCTATGAAGGACTACTTTTCATTAGACAGTCTCGGGGTGGCTAAACCGGAGAAGGTGCTTTTATCCGTTGAAGATGAACGAGCATTTTTATTGCTTCAGTCGCTGACCCGTCGTAAAGATAATCGATACGAGTCCGGATTGCTGTGGCGATACGATGACACCCGATTGCCAGACAGTCAATCAATGGCGCTGCGTCGATTGCAGTGCCTAAAGAAACGGATGGAGAAAGACCCGGAAATGTCAAAGATCCTGCAATCAAAGATAACCGAGTATGTGGAGAAGGAGTACATCCGGAAGCTTACAGACGAAGAAATCAACCAGAAGATTCCACGACGCTGGTATTTGCCAATTTTTCCCGTAACCAACCCAAACAAACCTGGGAAAGTGCGAATTGTGTGGGACGCAGCAGCTATCGCTCACGGCATGTCCTTGAACTCAGCGCTGGTAAAAGGACCGGATCTGTTGAGCTCACTTCTCGCAATTCTACTTCAGTTTCGGGAACGCCGCATCGGACTGACTGGTGATATCCGTGAAATGTTCCACCAGGTACTGATCCGAGCCGAAGACCAGTTATGTCAGTGTTTCTTCTGGATAGACGACCATGGAGCCATAGTAGTGTACGTGATGCAGGTTATGACATTCGGGGCTTGCTGCTCCCCAAGCACTGCACAGTTCGTGAAAAATACCAATGCGGAAAGATTCGCGAACAAATATCCAGCTGCATGCGAAGCTATCATGAAGTCTCATTACGTAGATGACATGCTCGTCAGTGTGGATACAGAAGAGCAAGCGATCCAGTTGGCGAAAGACGTTAAGCATGTACACGAGCAGGGTGGCTTTGAGATCCGAAATTGGGTAAGTAACTCGAGAAAAGTACTTTCATCGCTACAGGAGGCAAACACCGACGAAAAATGTCTCGACTTATCTCCAGAGCTGGCCACTGAGAAGGTGTTAGGCATGTGGTGGAACACGAGCGACGACGTCTTTACCTACAAAGTCGGATGGAGCCGCTACGACCCGGCTCTGCTAGAAGGCCAACGACGTCCGACGAAGCGGGAAGTGCTGCGTGTTCTAATGACCATTTTCGATCCGCTCGGCTTGATTTCCCACTTTCTATCGTTCCTGAAGATCCTGCTCCAGCAAATCTGGCGGTCCGGTGTGCAATGGGACGAAGAAATCGACGACAATGCAAACGAAAAATGGAACACATGGCTGCAAGTTCTACCTAGAGTTGAACAGGTTCAAATCCCTCGATGCTATAACTCCAAATACCCCGCGGAAGAAGCCGACGATATCCAACTCCACACGATGGTGGATGCCAGCGAAAATGGCATGGCCGCCGTTTGCTATTTGCGTTTCGTCAAGACCGGAACGATCATCTGCTCCATCGTCGCCGCAAAAACAAGAGTCGCACCGCTTAAGTTTACGTCGATCCCAAGGATGGAACTAGCAGCTGCTGTCCTTGGCGCCCGTTTGGCTCGCGCTGTCGAAGGATCGCTGTCCATCCAGATCTGCAGGAAGGTGTACTGGTCAGATTCCCGAGACGTCCTATGCTGGATCAACTCGGACCATCGCCGCTATAGTCAATACGTTGGTCACAGGATCAGTGATATTGTAGAGATTTCGGAAGCACGTGAATGGCGGTGGGTCCCGAGCAAGCTAAACTGCGCTGACGACGCTACCAAGTGGAGTAGCCTACCAGATATGTCATCAGATCATAGATGGTTCAAAGGAGCAGACTTTCTCTGGCGCGCTGAAGAAGATTGGCCGCCATCGCCAACACTTAGTGGATCTACCGAGACCGAACTTCGCCCTTCCTTTCTGGGTCATCACGCACCGTCGGAACCCGTCATCAGTGTCTGCAAATACTCAAGCTGGAAGAGGCTGGTTAAAGTTGCAGCACTCGTTCATCGTTTCGCGAATAACTGTCGCCTAAAGCACGCCAGGAGATCGATTAACACGGCACCACTTACAGCAAATGACATGCTGATCGCCGAGAGTTCGCTGATACGACTCGCGCAACGGGAAACGTACCCCGACGAAGTTGCTGCTCTTCAGAAAGCCAAAGCCGATTCTTCCACAAGTACTGTCCCTAAAACCAGCTCTCTATACCAGTTATCGCCATGGTTGGACGAACGTGGAGTCCTGCGCATGCGAACGCGGATTGCTGCTTGTCACTACGCCACCGATGATGCGAAGCAGCCAATCATTCTCAATCGAAATCACCACACCACCACCCTGATCGTAGCATACTACCACCACAAATACCACCACCAAAACCACGAAACCGTTATCAATGAAATACGGCAGAAGTTTCACATCCCTCATCTACGCGCCTGTTACGAGCGAGTACGGAAGGATTGCCAGTGGTGCAAGAACCAGCACACAACACCTAGCCCACCATATATGGCCGATCTTCCGCCAGCCCGCCTCGCTGCATTTTCACGACCATTTACGCATGTCGGAGTTGACTATTTCGGGCCGGTTGAAGTTGTCGTCGGAAGAAGGGTTGAGAAGCGGTGGGCAATGTTAGCCACTTGTCTGACGGTGCGGGCAATCCACATTGAAGTTGTACATTCGCTTAGCACAAGCTCCTGCATCATGGCGATCCGTAACTTCATTGCACGGCGTGGCACTCCCCAGAAGATTTACAGTGACCGTGGTACGAACTTCATCGGTGCAAATCGGGAACTGAAGCAAGCCAACGAAGCAGTAAACCAACACGAACTGATGAGAGAGTTCACGAGCTCTGGGATTGAGTGGGTGTTCAACCCACCTCTGTCACCACACATGGGCGGTAGCTGGGAGCGATTGATTCGCACCGTCAAGAACAACTTGATGGTTGTTTGTTCGTCGAAGAAGACGTCCGATGAAGTATTCCGCAATCTACTAACTGAAGTGGAGAATACAGTCAACTCGCGTCCACTAACTCACGTGCCGATTGATGAGGATTCGGCCCCAGCGTTGACTCCGAATCACTTTCTGCTTGGATCGTCCAGTGGTTCGAAACCGATCACAAGCCTCGATGATAGCGGCGCAGCCCTGAGACAGAACTGGTGTACGTCGCAAATTTTAGCGAACCAATATTGGAAGCGTTGGGTGTCGGACTACCTTCCAGAAATCACTCGCCGAACCAAGTGGTTTCGTCATACAAAACCGATCGCCGTGGGCGATATTGTAGTCATCGCTGATTGCAACATGCCCCGCAATTGTTGGCCGAAGGGTAAAGTCATCAGCACCAAAGTCAGTCAGGATGACCAGGTTCGGTCCGCAACCGTGAGGACAGCGAGTGGCGTATACGATCGCCCGGCGACGAAGCTTGCTGTTCTAGACATATGGTGCGACGGAGAGTAAGCCAACCAGGGGTTGTCGTACCCTGGGGGGAGTGTTGGCCGCACTGGCCTGAGCGCACCTACCGTGTCAGAACATCCCTGCAGTGGGTTTGACAGCGGAGTGACAGGTACCGATCTGACACCGGAGTGAGTAAGGAAGAGGATAAAAAGATAGAGCCAGACGATTGGAATCGAAAATTATAACATTCTCAGTCCTAAATGTTTCTTATGCATCTATTATTAAATTGAACTTAAATTAATCTTAAACTAGTGAACCTAGGTGCTAAATATTAAAATTAACCGTGAAATTGTTTGAGCCGGTAAGCTGAGATCACTTAAAACTATCTTAAACGAAACTTAATTGCTATTAGTTATAACTAGGTTACCCACAACAATAACACCAGCTTTGCAGTAGTGCCGCAATTCTATTAGACACTACAATCGGTGAGAAACTTAAACTACAGTGTTTCCTCGAAAATTACTATTAATCTACTTAATTATGTAGGATATTGCCGTCAATTGCGTTTCAAAGGTCACGAGAGGATTAAACCATATTAATCTTACCATACGAAAGCCAATCGGTAAGGTCATACATAGGTACAGTAATAAACACAACAAACGCTAAACTCTATTACCATTAGGACAACCACAATAATCAGGTCGAGAACCCACTTAAATCCCAGCCGGGAGTTATATGCTAAAGGAACTAAACGTAAGTCTTACCGGCTAAAATTACAATCTAAACTTACATCTATAAAGCACAAATACGGAATTTAATTGATACTTTTATGAAACACAAAATTGATAACTAATATTGATCACAAATGTCCTGCATCTTACAGGAAAATTATATTCTCCCAAAACCGAATATAATTTTCCTGTAAGATGCAGGACATTTGTGATCAATATTAGTTATCAATTTTGTGTTTCATAAAAGTATCAATTAAATTCCGTATTTGTGCTTTATAGATGTAAGTTTAGATTGTAATTTTAGCCGGTAAGACTTACGTTTAGTTCCTTTAGCATATAACTCCCGGCTGGGATTTAAGTGGGTTCTCGACCTGATTATTGTGGTTGTCCTAATGGTAATAGAGTTTAGCGTTTGTTGTGTTTATTACTGTACCTATGTATGACCTTACCGATTGGCTTTCGTATGGTAAGATTAATATGGTTTAATCCTCTCGTGACCTTTGAAACGCAATTGACGGCAATATCCTACATAATTAAGTAGATTAATAGTAATTTTCGAGGAAACACTGTAGTTTAAGTTTCTCACCGATTGTAGTGTCTAATAGAATTGCGGCACTACTGCAAAGCTGTAGCTTTGCAGTAGTGCCGCAATTCTATTAGACACTACAATCGGTGAGAAACTTAAACTACAGTGTTTCCTCGAAAATTACTATTAATCTACTTAATTATGTAGGATATTGCCGTCAATTGCGTTTCAAAGGTCACGAGAGGATTAAACCATATTAATCTTACCATACGAAAGCCAATCGGTAAGGTCATACATAGGTACAGTAATAAACACAACAAACGCTAAACTCTATTACCATTAGGACAACCACAATAATCAGGTCGAGAACCCACTTAAATCCCAGCCGGGAGTTATATGCTAAAGGAACTAAACGTAAGTCTTACCGGCTAAAATTACAATCTAAACTTACATCTATAAAGCACAAATACGGAATTTAATTGATACTTTTATGAAACACAAAATTGATAACTAATATTGATCACAAATGTCCTGCATCTTACAGGAAAATTATATTCTCCCAAAACCGAATATTGCGTTTTATTGCCGTCGGTGGAGAATTATAACATCGGAAAATTCCTATTGAAACGATTTTCAACACATAACCTCAAACTCCCGTTGGATTTGGGTACAACTACTATGGGAGAAGCCCACTTACTATGTGAGACTCTCTTCAAAATATTTTCCTCACAAAGCCGGTTCAACTCCGCTTCAATGGCAGGGCGTTGTTGAAAAGGAGGTGAATATGCCACGTGGAAGATAGGACTTACATTATCTTCCATGATAACCTCCGCTTCGAAATCTCGAATGGGAGTATTGTCGTTACAAATAACGTTTGGATATTTCAATCGGATGGAATCAACAAGGGAACTTTCAACATGGTTCATACTTACGATACTCTCCTTGAACTTACTCCTCCATCCGGGCCACATGACGTCCATCCATGTACGTCCAAGCAGCGGTCTGAAAGCCTTGTTACTTTCGATCACCACTAGCACTAGCTTTTCACTCGGACCACGTTGATTCTTCGACACATTTGCACTAAATCCTCCGATCACCTTGATACCCTGTCCCGTCACGGTTGAAAATTCATCGTTTATCTTGAACAGCGGTAAGTTCGAAAAGCACTTCTGATACAACCGATCGTTTATCACTGTAGCACAGGCCCCGCTGTCTATTTCGAATTCAATCGGTTGACCTTCAACGAATAACACTTCCGTCACCACACTGCTTTTTCTCAATGGAGTTTCATTCTCCACCAAGTTCAGCTGCATCCGGAGGTTGGCGATTTCTGCTGCGAGCTCCTCACCAGCATCAACCGTACCAACGGTTTGGTTCCTCCTGGGTTCTCGACTACCACTACGATACTGATTTGAACTTTTGCTGTAACACACGTTTGCCGTATGGCCCTGCTTACCACACGCGTAGCATTTCCAGCTTTTCGCTGGGCACTTGCCTTGTTCATGATCACGACCACATTTGTCACAGATTTTTCTTCGGAAATTTTGATTTTTCTGACCGCCATTGCCACTAGCAAATTTCGAACGACTTTTGCTTCTATTTCGGTTGGGCTTACCCGATCGCACCACGTGGGCACTTAACACGTTTTCACGCACCTTATTATCTCTTTCGGCCAGTTCCCAGTTCAGCGCATCTTCCACCGCTTTGTCGAACGTTAAATCTTTCTGTTTTAGCAGATGAGTACGAAGCCTGCTGTCGTAAATACCGAACACGAATCTATCACGTAACGCTTCTTTCAAAAACGCATCGAACTCACACTTTTCCGCGAGAGCTTTCAGCTCCACTACATATTCAGTCACCGATTGACCCGCCTTTTGATCCGCTTGATGAAACCGGTAGCGCTCCGAAATCTTATTCACATCTGGCCTGAAGTGTTTTTTCAGTGCCGTCACTAACTCGGCGTACGATTTCGCACTAGGACTCACTGGTTGCAAGAGCTTCTTTAGAATAGCATAAGTGTCCATACCTAAATGCGTCAAAAGAAACGCCACTTTTCTATTTTCCGGAATGTCGTGCAAAAGAAAGTGTTGAATCATCCTTTCCTCATACACCTCGAAATCGTCACCCGCGACGTAATTCTCGAACGATCCGAAATTTGTCACTACGGGCTTGTTTTCTTCGGTCATTTTTAACCTCACTTATCGCGTCTCACTCGTATTGTACAAACGGTAGCTTTTCACTCCACTCCGTTACACGACACACGACACGTGTCTTCAAAACTGGATACGAATTTGTACGCGGACGATACTGTTCACGATTCACTTGTGCTTAACAAACGGTAGCCCTGTCTTCAACTCCGTTACTATCGGTACGCAGCACGTGGTCTTTTCAATTCACTACACTTGTGCACGCTTTCAATCCTGCATCCTTCGTCGCCACAATTGTTCTATTCGGGGGCATTCGGAGGTTATGTAGTGAAACACACTCGTACGATCTAGCACTTTATTCTTACCTATATTTACAGTGGTGTTATCTGCTCGAGAGCGGTCAAGGAAAAAGAGCACGATACAATGGGTTGTTCTGCTTTTATATAATTTACATTAGTGTTGCCTGATAGGACCTCTATCAACCTAACCGGAAATACATGATTGTTTCGTTAACTTTCGTTAATGTTATCTAGATATACTACAATCGTGTGCGACGGTACTCGAAGCATCGGTAGCTCAGCAAAACTCTTGAATGATGTGGATGCCCACATAAAAGCAAATCGTAAAGAATGCTCGATGAGAGAGGAGTGTGAGTGTCGATGCACCACTCAAATCTTCGTGCAGCGTGCTCTTCTTCGGTTCATCGTTCGCATCGCGAACGTCGTCCATCGTTCGCATGGAGAGCGTTCTTCGTATGCTTTAGTCTTCATGACGGACGATGCGAATGGTTTTTCGCATCATCGCGATGCTCATGCTTTGATCCTCATGAAGATGCGTTTAGTTTATTCTTCAACGCGAACGGGAATAGTTGATTCAACACGATGAGTCGTGAAGGCCGTGAATCGTTGTGGAAAAAAAAATAGTGACGCGGTGGAAGAAGTGGCGGGAGCGTATAAAAAAAAATAAAATACAAGTGTCTGGTGGAAATCGATAGCGATAAACGGTGTCCGTATGGAAAAGCAACGCTTATTCCCTCTAATTTCAAACGACATTTCCTCACAATCCACCCGGATGTGGCTCGATTGGGGCTTTCGCAAAGTGAACGTAGTGCTAGTGCAAGTGGGGATGGGCAACCGAGAAAGGAAGAGAGTTCTTCTTGGAACACTAATGTTAGTTGCTGAGAATAATTTGCCTTTTTGTTATCCGGAATGGAAGGCAATTAAATTATTGAATGAACCAACATGGGATGCAGTGAATTTAAAAATAACACGGAATACTCTGCCGCACCTCGTTAGTCGGGCAGCGGATATAATGCGAAAAGAACTTATCGGGCTACTCCGTAATAAGCTCATTTGCTTGAAAATGGACTCTGCAACGCGTCACGGCAAATCGGTTTTCGCGATAAACGTGACTGTACCCGACGATGAAGGAGACGTTCACATTTACCATCTTCGTAAGTAAATCATTATTAATGTATATAACTGAAAAAGAAAACATAAAATCGATTCCAAATGGTTATTGGGAAAGAAAACACAATATCCCACTGTTAATCCGCACTTAGTTAATCCAACGCCTCGATAATCCGACTACACGAAGGAATTGAAAAAGTACAGGACAATCTTCGTAGAAATGTAGTGCATGCCACATGAAAAGCATCCA